TCAAACTGACGCCTGTATGGGATGCTGGTGCTGCAGGCAGAGGCTTAGCCCATTACACCACAGCGCCAGCCTCTCTGGTTCATCTTCTAACCTCAGAACCTAGTATAGGGCCCAGAGCAAATTAATCCTCTGCTGAGCTGCTGGATGGATGACGGATGGATGAGTGGATGACGGATGGATGGGTGGATGGGTGATAGATGGACAGTGGATGGATGGGGGGCGATGGATGGGGGGGTGATGAATGGACAATGGGTGGATGGATGGATGGGCGGGTGATGGATGGATGGATGGGTGATGGATGGATGAGTGGATGACGGATTGATGGGTGGGTGGGTGACAGATGGACAATGGATGGATGGGTGGAGAATGGATGGGTGGGTGGATGGGTGGATGGATGGGTGATGAATGGACAATGGATGGATGGGTGGAGGATGGATGGGTGATGGCTGGATGGGTGGAGGATGGATGGGTGGAGGATGGATGGATGGGTGGGTGACGATGGGTGGGTGACGGATGGACAGATGAACGGATGGATGAGTCAATGAGTGGATAAAGAAGGCATCAATGAATCGGCACTGGCTGGCTTTCTCTGAGCTGCACAGAAGCAAGGACAGGACAAGATGCAGACGTGGAGACGGCGTGGCGGCAGGGCTGCTGCCAGCCCAGAGCGAGGCAGTGTCCAAGCAGCATGAGTGCCATGCCTGACCACGAGCCTTCCAAGCTCGCCCTGTCACCCACCCACAGCGACCGGTGCCACACGGCGAGATGCTCTCGGAATTAACTGCACACAACAGCTCTGCCCGGGCCGGCACCACACCATGTCCCGACGAACTGCTCCTGCAGGCCAGAGCTCGCCACACCCCCTTCAGAAAAGCGCATTCAGTTCCCAGTCTGCCCCGCCTCACCCCCTGCTGCCCAGGGGAAGCAGCCATGAGCGATGAGAGAGTCAGCATTGGCTGAACACGGCTTTGGATTCCGCACCAGGCACCCTGCGAGCCCATGTCACTCACTGCTGACAACAGCCGATGTGGAAGACGGGACTCACCTCCAAGCTCGGCCCACCTGGGGCAGCATGGCAGCCTCGCTCCCTGTGCCCTGCTCTGGGCATGCTCACCGGCACTGGCTGCAGGCAGCCTCGCAGGTCAGCACCACCTCAAGGGAAACCTTTGTTGACCCAGACCGTGGAAGGACAAGGAGAGTGGAGGGGAGCAGCCGAGAACGGCCCTAAGACCTGCGCATCAGCCTGCAGGGACTCTGTGGCTCCCCTCCTCCCAGGGTGGAGAGTGGGTCCTCCTCCCTCCTGCAGGCCTGCCTAGAGGGGGTGAGCCAGAGAAGTGGGGGGCTGGGCCGTGGGGGGCTCCGGGATGAAAGCAGCTTGGAGGGTTTCCAAAGTGGCGACAGCCACTGCTGTGGCACTGGTTCTGGAGGATGGCGTGCAGAGAGCCAGCTTGCGTTCCTGGGGCTCCAAGCAGACAAGAATTCCCGGGAATCCAGGCAGACAAGAGCAGGTTTGGCTGCAACCATTCCCGGAGCACGTAGCTGTGGGGAGCAACTCGGACTAGACTAAGTTACTGGAATTAAGACTTATTCTGTGCATCTGCTCTCCCACAATATGGCGCTGGGAGAGGAGGAAACAGCTTCTACGCAGCTGCCTCTCGCCAACTTGAGTGATGACCTGCAGGAGCTGATCCTGCTCCTGATTGGAGGAGAACAGCGTACTCGGCATGTGGGTAGAAGAGTTGGGATTGGTGGAAGAGGACTATAAAGGAGGAGAGAGACAACATGCACC